TACTAAGATGCATAAAAAATTAAGGTGTGCGTATTTATTAGCATGCAGTGACAAAGAAAAAACCCCTTTTTCTTATTCTTTTCTTAATGAATCAATCAATACAGTAAAACTTTATATTTCGGATATCACTCACTCCGGATAATTGAAATATACGGATCATAGAGGAAGCATTGTGTTTTTAATAAATTTCCTTCTATAATCTTTAAAATATTGATTAGATCTGTATATTATTCATTTAATGATCTTTGACAAAATGTTTTTTTTTATCATATACGTATATAAATAGTACTCGATTAAACACTTCATTTTTTTCAAAAATATATAAATAGGAAACGTTTCAAGTGCTCAAAAACATGCACCCATTTTCAAGACTTGCCAGACGTAAATGAGAAGAAACAAAAGTGATTAAAATATAAAACTTAAAGTTGCCCACGAAAAATGGAAAAATAAGGGGGAGAAACAGAACTGGAAAAACCACAACAGCCTAGAGAGAGAAAAATAGAACAAAAAAAAAACGACAGTACGCTTAAGTGGCAAATCAGTGGCCGAAGAAAACCATTGTTTTTTTTCCTTCCGTTTTTCATCTTTTTTTCTCTCTTAGCTACTGTGGTTTTTTTTTTTCTAGTTTCGTTTCTCCCCTTTATTTTTCAATTTTTCGTCGGTAAACGTTTGATATTTCAAATCATTTTTGTTTTTTCTCAATCATGCCGGGCAAGTCTTCAAAATGGTCGCCTGAAATTGAGAGCGTAAAACATGTCAACTGTTATTTACTATTTGTATATTTTTTAATCCTATGAAGTTTTTAATAAAGTAATATTTTACAGTTGCAGCTTCTTGGGACAGTTGATTTAAGTATTGGAATATTTTATTTTGAAACTCATTTGTATAGCCTGTAGTGTCACTCAAATATGATATTAATAAATAAGTATTTTAATATTAATATACAGACAGTATAATTATATTAATATTAATACAATAAATGCGTATTATGATATAGACTATTAAATATTTTTCTTCATAACCAAGCACTGGAGCAGCCGTGGGGCGGGGTAAAGTGCTCTCGTCTTTTAATTAGTTGACCGCGGATCGTATCCCAGTATTGACTGGTCATGAGAACTCTGCTCTATTTCCAACTATAATCCTGACATACTTATTGTAGAGTTATCTTTGTTAATATAGTTTTTTTTTACAAAATAGCACAATTGTTTTATTAAAATAGAAGAGCTTGCTTTTTTAAGGTAGCAGTATTTATCTGGTCGAAAGTCAGGCATACATTTTTAAATAACAGTATTTTTCTGTGGGAAAAAAAAACAGTTTCATACTGACCCATCAGTTGACAGTTTTTTTCTGTAAATTTGAGGATTTTATTATACAGTGCACAAATAACAAAACACGCTTATTTTTTAGCAGATGTAGAAGCCATGAGTATTCAAATTAAACTACACTAATATTAGTAAAAACAAAAAAAAAAACAGATGTATCAACGAAATGTACAAATTTCAAATTCCTTTAGCAAATTAAAAACAACCATTTTAATTCCCTAAATAATAATACATTTCTTTGTTACTCGCTTAACAGGATCAAGTCTATGCATTAATGTAGTGAAAGGAGTGCATCTGTAGCTGATTTAAGATAGTATATAATTGAATTCAGAAAAGTAATAAAAATTATGTTATTGAAAAGGTCGTAGATTTAAAATTCAATTTCTCAGGAACTGCTCAACCAATTTCGCTTAAATTTTGTATTTTGCCATGTAAAATTACTTATACTACTTAAAAATGATGTAAAAATTTTATACTTTACAATTAAAATTTTTTTGCAATTAATGAAAATGAAATTATCTTTCGATAATTGAATTTAATAATTATATGCAAAAAATGTTTAATTCGATTGAAAAGTTCTCGAGATATGGTGAAATACGCAAAAAAAAAATTAAGGGGGTCAGAACTTTGGATTTCCTATCCAAACTATGGGGGCCATATTTCCTAGATCGTGGTTACCTCCTATATTTTGAGAGTCAGAAATCTCCGTTGAAAAAAAGGCATGTTTATTTAGAGAAAGTGCGTTTTTTGTGTCTGCTTTCGTCACTTAAAGATCGTCTGGTAGTTAGAATATAAGAGTTCACCCCCTCTAACCATTTACATTGAGTCCTAGAACGTGAAGTTCCTATCATTAGATCAAAAGTTATTCAGGGCGGTCCGTTTCTTTTCGCGATGGAAAAAAATGATATTGACGAACATATTTTTGTGTTCTAAGGAGCACAGATGCAGTCGATTAAAAAACGGTTAAAGTGATTAATGTTCTGCGCCCATTTTTCCTCTGATGCTTAAAATTTTGAATGTGCTGACATGCACTCACAGAAATGAAACTTTCATTGGCGACCCTTAATCCTTGAAATGTTTACATGAAAATCCGTCCTCATTCGTTCTGGATGCATTCTGGGATTTATGTTATTTATTGGTGTAAAAACTGCGGTGTAACGTCTCTCCTAATATTATGTTGAACAATCCAAAAGATTGCGTGAAGGTTCCATTTTTTATTGCGAATTAGCACCAAATCGAGCGTTTATATGCGATTTAAAGAGTATAATATAAATCTAAACACTTAAACTTGAATCTTACACCAAAACCTCATGCTTTCACACCATACGAGAAATAATTTCCCTTCCTAAAACATCAATATCGGCTCTCTCTGAATACCAAAAATTCAAGAAACGCCAAGTAGAACATCGCAATTAGTTTGCTTTCAATCTGGAATGAGCTGGCTACAGTTTGTTATTCATCAACAGAAACAAAACTTCACCGTTAAATGTGTGTGTATGTCTTTATTTGTGTAATAAGTATAATTACATTTTAATTTTTAAATCTCTGAGCACAGTATTAACTGATTTTGCAATGTATAATTTTTATCCACTTCGGTGCTGTTAAGCCTAGTTCGAATTTGTCGCAAATTTCTGATTTTGCAATGTATAATTTTTATCCACTTCCGTGCTGTTAAGCCTAGTTCGAATTTGTCACAAATTCTTCTTTGTGCTACACGTATGTTTAATTTACAAGCTAATTTTATTTTAAAGACAAGTGTATTTATGCATTCTAAATTAATGATTCTTACTTTATATTGTATTGTAAAAATAAATTTGCTTATTCTTATGTGCGTCGTAACTTACTAAAAGTTTTTGTGTTATTGAATACCGAAAATAGTGACAGCAACTTTACACCAATTAGTGTAAAAGAACAATGGTACAGTGAAACACTAGATCGAAGAGTTATGAATGGCGTTTCTCTACACCACTTTTGAGTAAAGTGGTTTCCAACATTTTTGATGTTGAGATACACTACTTTTTTTTATTCTGAAATATATGTTATCTCTAAATTAGTAATCAACTTTCACAGAACCTAACGCGGTAAAAGTTAAACATCAGTTAGTCATCACGTTGATGTCATGACGGGTTCTCTTAAATTTCTTAACAGCTTTTAAAACCATCAAATGACGTAATCATGCACGCGTGTGATCGCTTGCTAAGCAAGTGTTTTTGCGTTTTATTCTATGCTATGATGTAGTCAATTGTGTAAATCAATTTATTACATTTGGCCTTACGCTTTGGGCAAAATTTTATCATCAAACAACTAAGGAATACAATTTCCTTAATTTGAAGAAATGCTCGTTCGGAGCATTTTCTATTCAAGAAAATTTCGGAAAATTTGAGTATCCAATTTTTATAGTGAGTGATAGTTTTTTTTTTATATAAAATGTATTTTCATTTACAAATAAGCACTTTAACCGGATTTTACTGGAAAAAAAACGATCACCTTCGAATACCTTTCAAGAAAATTTTTTTATATTTATTTAGTTCACAATTCCTTTGTTTGTGAGAAAAAATCCAATTTCAATTCAAAGGAATTCATCTAAGAAAGTGCATTTGTAACTTATATGTGCTTCTGTGAAATATTCTCTTATGAAACTCTTTCGAACACAAATACTACTAACAATTTTAAATTTTAAATATATTTAATCAGAATTACATAAATGAAATCTCATAAATTTAAAATAACTTGCGTGATAAATGTATTTAGAGTTCTTTGCCAGTTGTAACTCTAGATAAGAAAATCTAATAAAGAAAATAGTTTTTTTTTCGGCAAGAGAAAATTGTTGACGGAAATTACCTTTGACCAAAAAGCCTTTTCCCCAGAAATCTAATTCCTTCTCCTAACATTTTACGTGGAGCATTATTTCTTTCTACTAATCACTTAAAATATTAATAGGGCATGAGTATCATTCATTCAGTTGCTTTTATTTCAATCATCAAAAGTTTAACTTAATCGTATACGAAAAATAAAGAAATATACTTTTTATGAAAAAAAAATTGTGATCCCAGTAATTACGAACAAAAAAGGAGAAAAAGGTTAATAATTATCGACGCAAATCGACGCTATATTATTTAAATATTTTCATTAAATTAATGAAAAAATTATCCATTAATTATTTTGATTTTTTGTCGTGATGGCTTAGCGGTAAAGTAAACGAGCTGCCATTGTCAAGAACTGGTGTTCGATCCCCTGTAGCGGCCTGAAGCACACACAGCATTAGGTCAATGGGAACCATTTTGTTTAAAAAACTATGAACCCAACTATGTTCAAAGTACCACACACAAAATACTAAATTACCATAATCGTACGTTTGGTCAGAATTTAGTGGAAAGATAAGCTTAATAACGCATATGGCCTACAATCATAAGCCGAAAATTCCAGATACAAATTACGGTATAAAATACGCTACACCGCAACTGAATCATTCGAAAAATCAATTTTACTGAAAAATCCATTTTTACCGTAAAATATCATAACATAGCTTTTACAATACTGTTAGTTTAGTTAAAGTAATTCAGAGAGTTTACAGCATTTATTACTGTAAACATTACGATGTAACAGACTTTTTGTTCAGTAACATGCTCCAGTTAAGGGAAAATGCCCGGATTTTAAGGAAAAAGGTACCGGCACCCTGAGACTCGGTACTTTTTACCGTTATCTGATCCGGAATTTTTTACAGTACAGAAACGCTTTACTCTGTAACATACAATTTAAAAATTGATACAAGTTAACAATCACTTCATTTCTCCCAAAAATACAAGTTTTATATTAATTCATATCCTAATTACCACAATCAACAGAGAATTTCAAAAGCTCGGAATTACAATACATTTAGATTGAAACACATTCACAATATCAAACGTAAAAACAGTCATTAATGATTTGAACATTTGTATGTTGTTGCCATTTTAAAGGAGTTTCAGTTAATAGCGTCTCCATTATTTAGATTGAGTTCATCATTTTCAGGTGAGTGTCCTTGATTCCTCTTGCAGCGTATATGACTGAGTCTTGAGGAGCGCGTCCTGTGCGACGTGACAAATGAAGTTCTGTGTCCCAGAGGTATGGACTTGCCTGTCTCTCCGAAGCGGGGAGAGTCTGAAGATTGAGCGTTGGGATTGCATATACATACTACTTTGCGAAAGTAATTACGGAACCTGGAAATAAAATACTATAAGCATTTACATTAAGTGGCATATTTAGGATAACTACAACTTTACTGAGAGAAAAAATTACTTTTTTTATTGTAAAAAGTGTCCTTTATTCCCAGTAGTAAACAGATTTTAATATTTTCAATATTCTATTCATTGATAGAACAGTTTAATATTACAAAAATAAACGTCAGCAAATGCTTAGATAGTCATTTTAATGGATATTTTAAAATCTATGGTTTCTGGTATGAGACACTCCTTTTAATATGGAGATTAGACCATAAAATTTTTTATGATACACTGTTAAAATTTTCCTTCTAAAATTACGGTAATATAACTGGCAGCTGTCTGTCCATCCGATTAACCATAAAGTTTATGGAAAAGAGAAATTTTTCCCCTTATGGTATTATAACCATTTACAAAAATATCGTTATAAGACCATGAATACAAAGCTATACGGCTTTTAACCATTTACAACTAGCATTTTTTAAAAACATAATAATTTTTTAACTAGACATAGAAGCTCGGTTTTTCGTAAGTTAATGGTCATTGGAGAGTGCCGGACACTGGGAATTCTTCACGTGTTGAACGGAATTGAGAAAATATTGAAGTGTCAACACTAGGACTCGAATTCCAGTTCTGATGGTCATGAGATTGACAGATATGCCCGCTCGGCTATGATATGTACGCAGTACCGAAGAACTAAGNATAAAATTCTGGTTGTTTAACCGTATTAGGTGAAAGCAGTTAATAAACATTAGGTTAACATAGGTTTTTCTTAAACTTAACAGTTTGATTACCATTTCATTTATGGTTATTTGACTGTGTTAATTAAATATGGTGAAATAGCCATGCAATCAATTGTTATTTAACCATTTCTTCCAACAGTGTACTTACCATTAATTTAAATAATGTTCAGGGACACTCATGATAATCTTTGATCTAATGATTGGATCTCCACGTACTAAATCTTGCATATACTTGAAATTTGACTTTCAGGATTTATTAGGCTAATTTTGAAATTTGGCCAAATTTTGTATTTTTTTGTCACATAAATTTTCAGTTTTTAAAATGATGTAAAAATCTGTATAATTTGCCTGTTATTAAGTAAAATAATTTTAAATAATCATTAAAATTATTTTTGCATAAAATTATCGTTGAATAAACAAATTTTATAAGTGTGTGTAACGTTTTTCTATTTGTTGAACAAATTCTAAGCATATGGCGAATTCTGCAAAAAATAAAGAATAAACTATAAACCACTTTCCAGGTCAAACTATTGGGATTATATTTTTGAGATTCAGGCTACCCCACCCCCTATATTTTTAGGGTAAGATTCAAAAACCCTTTAAAAAAAGGTATATTTATTCCGCAGAAGTGTGATTTTGTCTCTGATTTCTTAACTTGAATAATCGTCTACAATAATTAATTAACATAACCCTTTAAGCCATCAAGATTGGGTCTTGGTACGTGAAGATCCGATCACTAGATCGAAAGTTCTTTTTTACGCATTCAACATGTGACTGGTTAAACCATTAGGGATCGTTCATTTTTCTACTTTGCAAAACCCAAAAGAACTGCAATGTCATCTCAAACAATAAATATATTAACAAATCTATCAAATCTAGCGAAGGTCTCCTAATTTGGGATAGTGCCAATATTGCAACGAAGTATATTGATTATATAAGCTGATTACTATTTATAGGCAATTTTAAAACAAAAAATTATATAAAAAATACAGCAAAGTGTTGACTCGAACTTGGAAATAATAATACATCTTAATAACAAACTTAACAACAGTTTTTCTAAAGCACTACAGCCAATAGAAGGCATCTGTTTTATCACTCTCATCTTAACACTACTACCACCGTATCTCCTCCGGCTACTATAGGGGTGTTGAATTTTAAGGAACTATCACATGCATGGAACTTTTTCCCTGATCAAAATCAGTTTATGTTTACTAATAATACATTTTCGATACGCAAAACAATTTACAAGAAAAAAAATCACAGGAAATTATATTGTGGGAATCAATTATCAAGTGAAGTTGATTTAAGTAATATATTAAAAATGTAACACTAAAATATAAAAGTATCAAAGCATTTCGGATTATTTTAAAAAATAATATAGTTTGAAGCACAAGTTTTTTCTGCCTAAAATCTAAATTATAAAAGAATTAAATTACAAATAATTCAATAAAAGCATGTAAATTGTACATACGAGTATCATAGAATTTTGTACGAGTACTTCAAAATGTGTGAAAAAAATGCCGGTACAAATAACATTTTAAAATATTTAAAAAAAAATCCCTAAACATCTAAATTGATTTTAGTTAAATCAATTATGTAATTAATAATTTTATTAAAAAAAATACATTGATAAACAAATAAAAATTAATAGGTAAACTTAAATAAAAAAAATTTATAAATATAACATATTAAGTATTGATAAAAAAAAAAAAATTCCACTTTTGAAATCCCTTTATTGCCCTTATTATTCTATGAATTTAAAATAATATATTTACGGTGCAAATAAATAACTATACTTTTTTCTTCCTTGTTAAAATTTCTCAGAAGAAGAGAAAAACAAATTAAAAAAGTTATTTTTGCGAAATCCGTAGTTAGGTAAAATATTTAATTAAGGCATTCTCCGGCACTTAAGCGCTGTTCTAATAATAATTAATTAAGTTAGGTGCTAGTTCTGACTATTTTTACTAATTAGGTGATGTTTACTATGCAAGGCATCAGGGCTGAAAAGTTCAGAATTGTCTTAATCTATTATTGCGCTTGTTTTTTTTTCACTGTTGGTTTTTATAATTAATTTTTAAGCAATGGTGTTTCCAAATACTTAACCGTTTCCTAGCAAAATATAAACAGTCAATAAAGGGATTAACTATTTTTAGAACATATGATTGTAAAATAAGAAATGCAAGTTTCAAATCACGGAAATTTGATATAGAATCTTCGAATGTCTAGTATGGTAAAACAAAATTGTCCTAGTTGTATAAGATCGTTTTGAAATGTGAGTATTTCACTATATTTTTATAAACAACTTTTGCTTTTGCAAACACAGTTCTTAACTGAAATCCTTGACGCAACAAGGGGTGAATCTTAGCTCACTAAAAAACCAGACAATTTTTTACTGAAATTAAATTTTCTTAAGAATGCAAAAGATATTTAAACTCACTCCTCGTACTTTGAACTATCTGTATGCCAAATTTCATCGCTTTCGGTTGGATGGTTTTGGAGTTGATAAATGACACACACAAACACACAGCTACAGACAGATAATAAAAATTTTTGGAAATCTGTTTTCATTCTAAAATAATTTATTTTGGACCAATTTGCATGATAAAATAATTTGTGACTAGTCCGTTTGTAGGATAAAATTATTCGTAAAGAGTCCGTTATTACGATAAAATTATTTGTAAAGAGTCCGTTAGTAGGATAAAATTATTTGTAAAGAGTCCGTTACTACTATAAAATTATTTGTAAAGAGTCCGTTATTACTATAAAATAATATGCGAAGAGAACGTTCTGACGAAAAATAATTTTTACGAGGCTGTTTATGTATCAAAATTGCTCTAAAAAGGAACCCAGAAATTTCAAATTTGTAAAGATTTATTTTGAAAGTCTCACCTTGCATTCATGATGTAGTAGACTATGGGATTGTAGCAGGAATTAGACATTGCAAGCCAATATATTGCAAGATATACGTGTTGTATGAAATGTGTGTGCACTACATCACTGTTGTAATATATATAAAGAAAATATATGTGATACGGTAGCCAACATATAGCAAAAAGCAACATCACTGCAACCAGCATGTGAACAACCTGAAAATAAATAAACAGAAGCTTTACAAGGCAGTTACTTTTCTTTCAAACACAAATGAAGTATATTTATTATACATTTAATTTGAAACTTGAAAATATAATTAAAAACTATATTAATTTTAACGCAATATTATATATAACACACGTATGAATCACAATTTATAATAATTAGCCATTCGTTGTTATAAATTTAGAATATTTTTGAAACATTATCTATATTTGATAGTTTTAAGCTTTATTTTTCCCTTTAAGCAATGTTTAATTATTATTAATATGTTTTTTGCCAATAACAAGATTTAATAAAGACAATTTTTATTTAAATTAGTTTTTAAAAATTTAATTACTTGAAGAAAAATTCATATATAAATGCTTAAATAACTATAAAGTAGAAAAATTTTTTAACCATAGCAATGAATGCTTAATAAATTACAGGTTATAGACTTTAAATAGTACTGAATAGGGAATTTTTACCAGATAAATCACTCATCTCAGCTCGCAAAAGAAAAAAAAAATATTAAAGGATTAAAATATTTAATTCCTTAATTTCAGACCATGTATAAAATTTGTTTATTTATGCTTTAGAGAAATGAAGCATTTGGAAAGGCGTAAGTGAGGGAATTGACAACTTTCGCAAAGTAACTATGCACGATGCTAGAGGGAAAACCAGCATAATAAACATAAAGAAACGAGAGATACGTGGAGGACGGATGTGAGGAACATGATAAAAAGCAGGCAAGAGGCAGAAAAATATAGTTTCATGCGTTATCCAGAAGTGAAGAAAAGACGATGTAGGTTATAAAAGAAGCTAGTGAGGAGGTAACAACTAAGCATTTTGAGTGAATGAAGGTTAATTAAATTCGGGTGCTTGAGCTTTAAAAAACCTATTTTAAAAATTTGTTGTACACAAAATCTGTACAAAATCTCAATTTCGTGTAATAAATTATCGTTATTTATGACCTGTATGTGTAGGGATGCAGAGCGTATGCATTGAGTTAGCGAACTTACAATCCAGTAGGATTCCTGCTTATTATAATGTCTCTGACGTAAACGTAGATTTTTGAACACTAATTCTGAACCATACTTTATGTTCACAAAAAAAAGCCTTAAACATTATAAATATTTATTTTAATAGGCATTCCATTTCAAGAAAAATATTTCCTTTATTAATAATCCATGCTTAAAGAATGTTTTAAAGGTCATTTCAGAAACATAATACACATCTGTATATAATTTCTTCTTTTAAATGCTTCAAAATCACATATCACATTCTGAAACAAAAGATGATCACAATTAAAGTAAAAATATATTCACCCTTTGTTTGGATTTAATAACATTATTTTGAGGGTCAGTACTTTCGCCTATTACTTTGCTTCCCCAAAGTATACATCCAATCCATGTGTAAGTAACAGCCATACAGCACATCGGAATGATGTAAGTGACAACCAGGAAAATAATGTTGTACCTAAAAAGAATTGAAGTACAATTTCTTAACTTCCGTTTGAATATAATTCTATCTAACTATGAACAAATTTCGAAGTCGCAATTCGTATTTCAATTTTACGAATGTTTTTCCTTTTTAAGTTTTTTTTTTATTAGTTCACCAATTTTATTTATGTTACCAGCCTGAGATTAAAAATTATTAATAAATATCCCTCGTAATATTAAATATAATAAAAAGTTTTTCACAAACCTTAACAAAAACAGATTTTTTAAATAAGTGAATCTGGTGGCATAAATGAGGGGATTAGAAGAAGGGGAAATGAGGGGATTTATTTAAAAGAAAAAACTGCGACGATTATTAAACATTAAAAGCATATGACACAACTATGATAAAATTAAAACGTTTTAACAGAATTCATAAGTAATTTAAGCAGTTTTGTAAGATCCTTCATTTAATTCTACTGCTAAAAAATACTAAAAAAGTTATATGCAATTTTAATGGAAAATCACGCGGTTTAAAAAGTGTACCGACAGCTTGAAAATTCATTTTTAGGAAAATATAAAAAAATTATGGTTTTCTGTGTTTTCATTAGGTAACAAGATTCATTCTCCCCAAATTGAAAAATTCGTTACAAAGTCCGCCATTCCTCCAACAGATGGCACTTATAACAATTAAAACTATATAAAAAAAAAAACTTTTTTTAGCATGCTAAACTATTCTAACTGAAATATTTCAAAGGGCAACTGTTAATTTCATGTTCCATTGCACTACGTATACATGATACTCGAATCACTAACTTTTAAAATAACTATAAGAAGTCATATTTGTTATAAAAAAACTCTCCATTAATTTTTGGTTTTTCCACGTCAACAGAACCATCTTTTGGAGAATTTAGCTACTAGTTTTAAAACTTATCGAATTTGAAAAGATTGGGTGTTTAGATTGAAATTAGAATTTGAATTTCCAGAAGGTCCAAAAATAAACCCTAAATTCATGCTCCATATCTAATTTATTTTAACATAGTTCAAAAAAAGTCCAAAAGTTGTGTTTGAAATTAGAAATATATTTATTTTTCCCCATCTAAACAAAGAATATTTAGTTTTAAAACTATTCTGATTGAAACAGTCACTTTGATCAAAGCAGAATTAATTGAAAATAGTAAGTTTTGACGTAGGCTAAGAGAAGGTGGCAAAAGGTCATGAGCTCCGAAAGTGCACCACCATTCAAAATAGAATCAAAATAGGTAGTAGCAATTAGAAGTTATGAAACAGAAATAAAATTTTAATCCGAAGTTATAATAAATTTATGAAATGCTTGCCAATAATGAGTAAGTAATCCATAATTTGGTAAGGTATCTATTGATAATTGGGTACATCTAATCACATGGTTGTGAGTCACGTGTCAATGTTACAACTAATTGGTTTGGGTTTAATATCAAGCTAAATCAATTTCCGGATCAGATTTAATTAGATAACTGTAAGCGACGGCACGCGTGCTTATTGGCTGGTCCACGCGTGACGTCGGTAGCGAGTATCCAATTTTCTGTGTTATAATTGCTATTTAATGTGAGCTTCATAAATTTGAAATATATTGGTAATGGAAACTTAATAACGTATATGAAAAACCAAAAATTTACTGTTAACATTAAGTAGTCTCTAATATTCATGTAAGGAAAAGCTCAAGTACGGAATTTGAAAAACTACTTAAAACAATATATTAGTTATTACATTGATTGAAAAAACAATTAAATGAAATATGAAATTATTTTGAAAATAATTGGAAATAGTTTTGCCTATTACGTCATGACGTGAGAATTGATCCCCTGTGTTTCTTTACTACTACGAAACGGATCATGCATTTCCATACCTTTTTGTTTTTTCTGTAATTGAATTTATTTAAATCGGCCATCACTTTTGAGACACCTATATAGAGAAAATCTGCGTAGAGAAAAAGTAAAATTACCGTAGTGAATGTAATAATATTTCTGCTAAAAAAAAGAACCATTCTGATTAATAAAATCTAGTTCTAATCTAAAACTTCTCAATCTAGTTCTGGTTATTAAAACAAAAATATACGATATTTAAACTATTTATTTTGTAATTTTTAATTTTATATGGTAGTGGTTTACCAAAAATTTGGTTTATAAAATTGCAGTTCTTATTACCAAACATTTTGTGAAAAATGCAAAACTTGAAAGTAAATTTAACCTAATAATTTGTTCCAGTGTCTAAGGTATCATGATAAAATTATAAAAATTTTATCACGCATTGTACAACTATATTTTATCGTTAATTTTACCATATTATGTACCAAAGTGCTTCAATAAGAAATTACCGCGAATTCTAGTGTTCCCATAGAGCCGGACACACGTTAAATTTTACCATATTCTGGTAGTTTTGAGCATTTTTCCTCTCGGCGTAGTATTTCTGAGCAACTCATCCCTCTTTAACCCATCAGGTGCCGGCTATGAGAGCAACTACTGATTATTTTTTCCTGTTTTTCCTTTATTCATTAATTTAAAGTTTATTAATGTTTATTCAGTGTTCAAATTTTAAAATGAAACTAGGAAAATTGTAAAAAAATTGGTACTCTTTTATTTCCCTTCAGCATTTTGAACATCTTAAGAAGTTTTGAACATCTTAGAAGCGGAAAATCTTAAGAAGTAAGTCTTCTCGAATACCTTTCTCATGTTGATTCGAAATACCTATTATGAGTAGGTAACAATGACTTCCCTGTTTGTCGGTCCTGATATAAGAGCTCTTACAGGAAGTAAGGTCACCCGCTCTCCCTTTCAATTAAAGGGGAGTGCAATGGTATTAATTAGACATCTTAAACTGTCTGATAGTTCTGGAATGTAAATTGGGTAGTCTTGCACATTTGGTGAAGATGGTCTTCTTAGAAATCTAAGGATTGACTATTTTGCGCTGTTCGTAAAATATGACCTGGCATGAAATATAATAATGCCAAAACCAAATAATGATGTGAGATTTGATGGAATAAAACATTTTTTCGAAAGTAGATATCAACAATCAAAATGCAAGTTAAGTAAAAAAAAATACACGGTTGAAGTACAAAGTTAATTAACAAATAGAGTGCTCACAGATCAAAATAGCTACGCAAAATAACAATTTGGAAAGAAAACAAACACGCTTTGATAGTGTAAAATAGTTCATAGTTTCCTTAATGGTGTAAAATAGTAAGTTTTTCTAGTTGCTAATTTTCATTTAGATTTTTTAATTTTACTTATGGTGAGAAACCGCTCTACCTGTTTAAAATAGCAGACGGTTTTACAAATCGCAGTTGAATAATCGAAGGTATTTCGAAAATATGTGTTCACCTGAGCCGCAATGGCTCTGGAGTAAGAGTGCTCAACTCCCAACGAGGTGACCCGGGCTCGAATTCCCAGAAACGGCTGGTCGATAAGAATCCCACAATCGGATCGCTGACGTTAAATATGCTCAGTGGTTGACGGATCATGGGCTAGAGTCCCCCTGCCATCAGGCTAACCATTGGAACTTTTCGCGTTTTTCCTCTCTATGTAACTCAAACGCGTTTCAGTTCCATCAAAAGAGACCTCCAGGAAAGCAAATTTCTCCCAATACTTCATCCAGGAGTTTCCTTGTCTTCTGGATTGGGATCAAAATTACAAGGCCTCGGAGGATTTCACTTTGGTAGTCGTAAACTTAAAATTAGGTCGGCTGCTCAACGATGGAAATAAAATAAAATAAAATATGTTCACCTGTCATTCGGCGTCAAAGCTTCCATTGAGAAGAAAAATCTTTCTAATCAGAATTAAATGAAAAGAAGTATTTCCTGCGTTAAATAATATTTCATGTGAAAGAGAACAACATTCATGTTTCATTCATTACAAAATAAATGTAAATTCAACTTACATTCGAATACATTTAAATATAGCGTAAAGTATATTAGTTTCCTAATTGTGGATAAAAGTTTAATGCTCACTCGTAAAGTAAGAATAATGAAACTTTAAATAAATAAATATTATAAGAAAAGGTGCAAAATTGCTTGAGAATACTCGCAAATTAGCAATTTTTTTTTTAATTTAACGTTAAAATAAGTAATGGTCAAAAATAAAGGCGGAAAATATGCCGTATTAATACAAATATGAATAGCACGGAAATAGTTTATTTAATGAAAAGCATTCCGTAAGTGTATAGTTTACTAATTTTCTAAGTTTACAGTTATTTCGCATTTCAATAATCGACAAAAACATGAAAATAATTTAATTTAATTACACTTTTACGAGAATTCCAATGGCAAAAATAAATTTAAAACCAACGTTACTATACATGAGATCATTAAATAAATTGAAAATCATCTCTTTAAAAATAAAATTAACTTTGCTATGTTCGCGAGTGATTATTGCAAAATATTAAGAAATATTTAGTAGCGATTTATAAAGCAGATAAAATATTACATTTCAAGAAATTTCAATAAAAACTCAAATCTTATCTCCTCATTTTCACACTCATAAATTAATGAGATGGCATTAAATAAAAATCTATTTCTTTTGAAACTTAATATTGAAAGCAAATTCATATTTTTGAATTAAACTTCAAATATTTTTATAATTATATAGTTTTCATTGAGTATGCAAATGATGTTCCCCATTTAATACTTCCTCATAAATATGCAAAAGGTTTTTTTGATAAAGAATTGATGATTTATTTAAAACAGATTTTCCAGCCATTTTCTTAAAAGCTTTAAAAAGTATGAAAATCAGAAATTAAATTTATTTTTTAACCGCGAAAATTATCATAACTGCACTTAATAGTTACCTAATGTGCTTTCCTCTATCTTTAAATTGATTTATTTATAAGAAAAGATTTTTTCTTCATATTTTTAAAGCTAAGTATAAATAACTATTACGTTAAAGAAAAGTTTTTTTTTAAACAAAAAGATTAAGCTCAGTTAGGTAAAAGAAACTCTAGGCATAAAGGACATTTTTTATTTAAAAGATATTTAGAAAATAATTTTTCACGTTAAAGGAACAAAGGGTTTCTTAGCGTTTGCATTTCTTAATTTAGCTTAACAAAATCGAAATTATAGCTTATTGTAAATATACCTTTTATGTTCGAAATATTTCAGAAGTATTATCTTTGAAACAGATAAATCAGTTTGGATGTTTAATAAAGTAAGTCAATTTTATCTGTTATGTAAAGTTAAAATAAAAACTAAG